CTGTGTGTCTTCACCCACGGGGGAGAACGCACAAGCAATATCACCAGCCATACCACCCACTGCAGCTGCTTCAGTCCTGGCTGCCCCCGCTGCTCTCGCGCTTGCTCCTACTGTTCCCCCTTCCTCAGTTTCCTTTCCTGCCTCTGCTGACGCCTTTGTCCCCGCTGCTCCCCCGGCCTCTGCTGCTCCCCCGGCCTCTGCTGCTCCCCCGGCCTCTGCTTCTCCCCTGGCCTCTGCTGCTCCCCCAACCTCTGCTGCTCCCCCGGCCTCTGCTGCTCCCCCGGCCTCTGCTGCTCCCCCGGCCTCTGCTGCTCCCCCGGCCTCTGCTGCTCCCCCGGCCTCTGCTGCTCCCCCGGCCTCTGCTGCTCCCCCGGCCTCTGCTTCTCCCCCCGCCTCTGTTGCCTCCCCTGCTCCCTCTACCTCTGGACTTTTCCTCCCTCTTCCCCCTCCTTCCACTCCTTCAGTGCTCAAACCACTCCCCACTCGCCTTCTCTTCACCTCCCTCTCACTATTTCCCCTCCCTCCTTCCTCTTCCCCGTCCTTATTCACTCCATCACCTTCCCCGCTTTCCACTGAAGCCAAACCTGCATCCGACTTCCCACTCACGTTGCCCCTCGCCTCTCTACCCTTGCCCCTCTCTTCACCATCCTCTTTCCCCTCCCCACCATCCTTGCCCTCCTTTCCACCTTTGCCCTCATCCCCATCAACCTTCCTTTCATCCCCTCCCTCCTTCTCCTCCACCCTCTCACCCCCCTCCTCACTCCCTCCTCCGCCCCCTCCCCCCTCCGTCCACCGCTGGGACATCTCCAGATCCGCAGTTAACACCTCCCCCAGGCTCACCTGCACGCCCAGGCTCCCCCCCGCACCCATCTCCACCGCTTGCGAGTCCATCCAAACCGCCTGGGAATCAAAGGGCATACCGTCCGCGTTTTCTGATCCCTGCACCTGCCCGCCTGCTGCTCCCACAGGAACTGGCTCGCTCAGACCCGCATTCTCCACACCAGCTGCTTCGCCCAGGCTTGGGTTCAGCGGTCCTCCTTCCTGGCTTTCCAAGGGAGCAGACTCCCCCAACCTCGGATGTTGCAGCCCTGTCTCCTCACCTTCAGGAGGAACTTCGCCCTCTTGCGCTCCCACTGCTTTCTCTTCCATCCCAGCTCTCTCCTCGCTCTCATCCCTCTCCTCTATCTGCGGCACCCCTTTCTCCTTCTCCTCTCCTCCAACGCCCTCTCCTGCTCTCCAAGACTTTGACAACCGTCTTCTCTTCCCCCTCCTCTCCTCCTCCTCTTCCTCCTCCTCCTGCAGCTGACTCAGCTTCAAGAAATACTCTCTATCCAGCCCGTGGCTCGGACTTGCACTTGCACCCTTCCCTGCGCCTCTCCCTCGCTTCCCCCCTTGCCCTGCTGCACCTGCCCCACGCCCGCCCGTCCCTGACCTGCCATTCTTCCCCCCTCTGCCCTTCTGCCCCATCCCCTCCGCCTCCTCTTCCTCCCCTTTCTCTTCTTCTATACCCTCTTCGCTACCTGCCCCTTTCGCCCCTTTGCCCCTCCCCTTTGTCTTCCCCTCTCCTCTCCCTCCTCTCCCTCTTCCTCCTCCTCTTCCCTTACCTCTTGCACTTCCACGCGTCCTCTTCCCCTTCACTTTTCGAGCTTCTTCCTCCTCTTCCAACTCCTCTTCCTCCACCCCATCTCCCTTATCCCCTCCCTTCCGCCCTCCACTAGCCTTCCCTCCTTCCGCCCCCCTCTCCGCCTCACCCACTCCGCCCTTGCCCCAACACCCCCCCTCGTCCGGGTCCTCACTGTAAGGAAGCGCGTACGGGTCCACCCCATCCTCCCTCAGAACAGCCTTCAACGGCTGCTGCACACCGGAAACACCCACGTGCCCGTCAGCCACCGTCCCTCCTCCTGCCTTCCCCACCGGCTTGAGCCAGTTAGCCCAGCTGGGTACCTCCCTTCCTTTGCTCGTACCTCCTGCCCCACTGCCCTTGCTGTTACCCCCCTTCTCGCCCCCAGCCGCTCCCCCCATGCCTCCGCCCATTCCCCCCAGCAGCAGCCCGCCCAGTGCACCGCCCGGTAGAAGCACGTCGCTGCTGTGCTGGCTGTCGGAGCCCAGCAGGCGCGTGACTATACCGAGGGCGTCCACCTGCGTGTCCTCGCCTGGATCCACCGAGTCCCCACACAAAGCTGCTGCTGCTTCGGGTGATGTGCTTGTTGTTCCTGCTGCTGTTTTTCCTGATGCTGCTGCTGCTGCTGCTGGTGATGTGTCTGCTGTTCCTGCTGCCGCTTTTCCTGCTGATGCTGGTAGTGATTTCTCTGCCGTTCCTGCTGCTGCGGCTGCTGCGGCTGCTGCTGCTGCTGCTGCTGCTGCTGCTGCTGCTGCCGTGTCTACTGCTGCTGCGGCCGGTGCCGGCAAGTCTGCTGCTGCGAGTGCACCTGCTGCTGCTTCCTCCTCCCCGCCCTCCACAACCGCCTTCCCCGTCCCGAGCACAACCCTTTCTAAACTCCTCCCCTTGCCACTTCCGCGTCCCCCGCCCCTCCTTCCGCCTCTCCCTCGCCCTCTTCCCTTCCCTCCTCCCCTACCTCTGCCTTTGAAGCTCACAGGTGATTCTTCCTCCTCTTCCTGCCCCTCCTCTCCTTGCTTCCCACCCTTTTCTCGGTTCACCCCCTTATCTGTCTCCTCCTCTCCTCCCCTCTGCTCTACCCCTTCCACTTCCGTTTCCTCTTTCCGTTCCCCCTCCTCTTGCTTCTTTCCTGCTTCTCGTCTCTCCTCATCTCCCCTCTCCGCTTCTCGCCTCTCTCCCTCTCGCCTCTCTCCCTCTTGCCTCTCCTCCCCTCGCCCCTGCTCTAATCTTTCCCCCAGCTCGCCCTCCGCCTGTCCTCCACCCCTCGCTAACCCTTTCCCTGTCACCTTCTCTGGTCCCCCCCTAGCAACAACCAAACTCAAATCAAATTCCTTTTCCTTTTCCTTTTCATTCCCACATTTACTAGGGCTCCAACTCCCACCATAACCATACACCTGCGTCTCCTCGTCCTCCCCCACGATCTGAGTATCCGCCAGCCATCCATCCCCCGCCCAGTCCATCTCCTCTGTCTCGCCCCCCACTTCCCCGCCCTCCCCTCCGCCACACCCCTTCCACAGCTCCCCCCACTCCTCCGCCACCGCCATCTCTCCCCCACTCCCCTCCACCTTCCCCCCGCTGTCTTCCGCCTCCACCCTTCCGCCAGCCATTTCCCCGCGAGCATTTTCCCCCGGCTCCTGCGCGTCGTGATTCCCTCTTATCCGTTCGACGCTCAGACCTTCCGTCACACCAGCGAAAACCTTCGCCAGTACGCCGCCCATTTCGCCCTCTTCGACAGCCTTCGCCCTCCCACTCCTGCTGTTTCTTACCCTAGAGATAGAGTTATCGGCAATCCCAAGGGACTGACCACAACTCGCCTCGCCACTACTAAGACGTGGACCAGACCTCGCAGTCAGGCTCGGACTACACTCAGGAGGCAGGCTCGAAGTAGGCTTGGGACCCTTGTTCAGACTAGGTTTGCTGTCGTCCCCGTTAACGAGAAACGACACGTCCGGTGACGGAGTGTGCTGTCGCGTTGTATTAGCGTGAGGCTCTAGCGAGCCATTCGCGTTGACCTCTAGCGTATCAATTTTGTGCGAAGGCTTGCGACGGCTTCGCGTAGCAGCAACCATCGTTACCACCTAGGGTGACGATCGGTGATCTAAGACGACATAAGTTGACTAATTTCTGCAAGAGTATACCGCGCAACACTGAACAGAGTACTTTGAAAGATTTGCAAATATATCTGTTTTTACGGACACTAGGAAAACCTTGAAACAAGCAGCTTAGCGTCGTAGTGTGAGGAATGATAAGACGGAAATAAATCAACCCACTGAAGAAAGACGAAGCTCCGAAATTTATTATAAAATGGAGCAGCCATGGAACCTTGAACGTGTGCAAGAAGCATGAAAGCTGCACCCTGAATTTCAAGGGTGGGCTTTCCCGCCAAATCCCGCCTGAACTTTATGAATCATCATCCTCGTATGGGTGACGATGAAATCTAGGTCACAGGCTGGTTCAGGCCCGAACCTGCAATGCTGGCTGGGGAACGTAAAGCTGACGCTCCCGCCGGCTTCTTTCCATACCCAGATGCTCTTATTCCCGATACAAGCAGCGAACAGCATGGAACTCGCGTGAGCTGAACCAAAAAGTGTAGCACCAAAAGCTCAGTGTTTTTCGACCTTCCCAAAATATTGTTCTTCCCCTCAACCACCAAGGTTCAGCGCAGCAAAACCAGTCACGAAAATTAGAGGTCAACGCATCGTCTCTCACTCAATAATCGCCGCATTGCGATCCAAGTAATTGGTTTCCCGCTTCCTCGCTTTCTACTCCTCGCGTGCTCGTCCGTTCTTTTCCTCTTCCTTCGTCTTTCCAGACATATATCTCAAATGGCGAGGTCGAAACCTGCGCCGGAGAAGAGGGTGAAGCCAGCGACCCGGAACCCGCTAGGCGTGGCGAAGTCCTCCGTGAAAATACAAAAAGCGACGGTTACCGCCGCGGCGCCAGCCGCGAAAGGCCAATCGCGCATTAGCGCGAAATCGAAGCCGCTTTTAACGAAAAAACAGGAGATGATCGCGAAGAAGAAGCAGAAGAAAATCGCAGCGAAGACAGCCGCGGAAGAAGCGACGAAAGCCAATCAGAGCACGAGAGTCGTCCACGTGGGGCTTATCCCGAAGAGCGAGTTGCAGGGAAAAGCGGCGGGCGCGTTAGCGGGGGCACTGCAGGGGAAGGCAGTGGTGGGGTTTAAGAAGGAGAAGGTTCTGGTGCTGTCGTCGCGAGGCATTGTGTACAGGTCGGTCGTTGTGTCGGGTCAGGGTTGGGCCACTGACGGGGGCAGGGTTGCACTAGGGTTCTGCGGGGTTCAGGGGTTTCTACCTTTGGTCGAGGCTTGGCTTATCCCACCGCTTACGCTTATCCGCCTGCCTCTCCCAGGTACCGCCATCTAATGGAGGACATCACAGCGGTCTTACCGCACAGCAAGAAGGAGCCAAAGGTGGACTTAGCACTGCTAGTGGTGCCTTCCCACGCATGGAATGGTCATGTGCCCCTCTCTCACTCTTTATCGTTTTCCTGCCTGCTTTCTTCTCCCAGGTACCGCCATCTAATGGAGGACATCACGGCGCTGTTGCCGCACAGCAAGAAGGAGCCCAAGGTGGACGTGGCTCGCGGCCGTCAGCTCAACGAGGCTCTTTCTGAGCTCATGGACTTACGGGGCTGCTCCCTGTGCCTCTTCTTCGAGGTGAGGTGCTTTGCTGCCTTGCTCACTTCACCCCTCCCCACCCCACCTTACTCCACTCCTCTCTGAGCTCATGGACTTACGGGGCTGCTCGCTTTGCCTCTTCTTCGAGGTACGGTGCCGCCCTCAGCTCCCCTCACCCCACCCACCCGCTCCCCCCAGGCCATCCCATCTTGTTCCGTGCCCCGCCCTTTCCCTCCCCTTCCCCTCCCCTCTCCCTCCCCTTTCCCCCCCTCTCCATCCGCCCCGCCACACCTTGCCCCTCACACTTTGGCTTCCTCACTGCATGCCCTGAGTGGACTCGTTTGACCGCCCCTGTCACTCAGTCCCTGCCCCGTGCCTTATACGCACAAGCGCAAGACCTGCAGCTCTGTCTGTGCCACTGCCAGCCATCTGTGTTCATGCCCCTGCCGCCCATACACTGGTGGTGCCAGCCATCTCTCTCCTTCCATCTCTCTCCTTCCATCTCTCTCCTTCCATCTCTCTCCTTCCATCTCTCTCCTTCCATCTCTGTTTCCCTCTCACTGCCAGATGCGCAAGCAGAGAGACCTATACCTGTGGCTAAGCAAGGGGCCCTCGGGTCCTTCCGTGAAGTTTCTCGTCAGTGCAGGTATGCTCGCTCGTCGTACCCGTGGGTGTGTTGTTCGAATGTGCATGCTTGAGTAACGTTTCTGCACGCACGCCATGTGACACGTCTCAAAGCGACCAAGTTTTGGTACAAGCTCCAACCTCCAAATGTGCGCCTACCCCTGTCAAATCCCTTTCCACCCCCTTAACCCCACGTCCACACATTTTCCTTAGCAGCGCACACAATGAAAGAGCTGAAGCTGCCAGGCAACCACCTCAAGGGCTTTCCTTGTTCACCCACTCCTCTCCCATGCTTCTCCCCTCTTCCACCTCCCCCCACCCTCCGCGCCATCCCTCCACACCCCCCGCCTCTACCCCCCCAGTGCACACAACGGAGGAGCTCATGCTCACAGGCAACCACCTCAAGGGCCGTCCGTCCTTGTCCGCCCACTCAACTCGCCCACTCCCCCTCCTTCCTTACTCCCCCTATCACACCACATCCCCCCCCACCAACCCCCCAGTGCACACAATGGAGGAGCTCAAGCTAACGGGCAACCACCTCAAGGGCTCGCGTCCCTTCCTCACCTTCTCGCCCTCGTTCGACCGCCTGCCCTTCCTCTCCGTTCTCAAGGAGCTCTTTATCCAGGCACGCTCACACAATCCCCCCCCCCCCCCCTCCTCCCCTTCATCTTGTTCCACCTCATCTAGACACGCACGTACGCTCCCCCTCCCACTGACGCTCCCCCTCCCACTGACGCTCCCCCTCCCACTGATGCTCCCCCTCCCACTGACGCTCCCCCTCCCACTGACGCTCCCCCTCCCACTGCACTCACCTTCAACCCCTCGTTTGACCGCCTACCCTTCCTCTCTGTTCTCAAGGAGCTCTTAATCCAGGCACGCCCTCACGGCCTTCTTTCTCATGCACTCACGGATGCACACTCACGTGCCGTGCCCTTACCCATTGCAGTCTCGCTCTACTCTGTCACTTCTTCCCTTCAAGTATAGAAGTCTGTTTTTGCATCAGGGTCGTTCGCCTTGCTGCCCACCCACTAACCCATCCCCCTCCCCCCCCCCCCCCTCTGTGAGCGCATGCAGACGTTTGCAACCCCCAAGGGGCACCGCAAGGCGAAGCCATTCTACGATCATGTGCTCACATTCACCTACCTGGATGGCCGCATCTGGTTCAGAAACTACCAAGTGAGGCTGCTCTAACCGATTGCGGCATGTGCTCTCATTCACCTACCTAGCTGCATCTGCTCTATACGCCAACGTTGGTGATTGGTCCGTCTTAACACTAACACAGTTGCTGACAGCATTCCTGTCCTATTCATTCTGTCCTGTCAGATATGCATTCCTGGAGCAGAGGGGGCAGCGAGAATCGATGACATCACGATGGAGAAGATGTCGCTGGTGGAGGTGGGTGCTGCACACACATAGTGTGGTGCGGTACGGTTTGGTGTGGTGTGTAGGTAGGCGCTGCACACTGTGGTGAGAGTTTCAATTATGCATTTCTGGAGCCGAGGGGGCGGCCGGAATTGATGGCATCACCATGGAGAAGATGTCGCTAGTGGAGGTGGGCATAGTAAAGACATGCCTGTGGTGTGGTCGTGTGTGGTGCAGTGCGGTGTGGTGCAGTCTGGTATGGTGAGGTGTGGTGCGGGTGTGTTATGAGCGTCTTGGATTTGCATTCATGTGGCAGAGGGGGCATCCAGAATTGATGACATCACCATGGAGAAGAAGTCACTAGTGGAGGTGGGTGCTACAGAGACTGGTGTGGTGCAGTGTGGTGTGGAGTCAAACCCATAGAGGAGCAGAGGGGGCGGCCGGAATCGAAGACATCACCATGGAGACGATGTCACTTGTGGAGGTGGGCATAACAAATGAGTCACAAGGATGCTGGTGTGCTGCGGTGGGGTGCAGTGAGGTGTCATGTGGTGCTGGTGTGCTGCTGTGCTGTGCGAGGGTAGGCGTTTCAGAGTCATGCCTGTGGTGAGGAGGCATACCTACAATCACGAGGGTCAACAGTAGACGCTCTGTTACTGTTGCTGATGTCTCGGGACAGAGTGCACTTTGTTTGTTGCTAGTGAAGATTTCACTGTCTGTGTATTCGCTGCCTCCGTTTTCTCCTTCACCTCGTTTCCCAAACCTGACTCTTCTGCTGTGCCGTGCAGGTGGGGCCTCGCTTCTGTTTAAATCCCATTCGTGTGTTCTCTGGCACATTCGGTGGGCCCACTCTTTATGAGAATCCAAGTTACATTTCACCAAATAAGGTGTGTATAAATCTGGATGACGCAACAGGAACATTATTGTTTGCATGTTGATCATACTCGATCCGCTTATGTTTAGCGACACACACACATCCATCACATTCAGTGGGCCGTCTCCGCTGTTGCCCTTGCAGATCCGTATCAATGAGAAGAAGAAGCACGGGGAGGAGTATCGGGAGAAGGTGCACGAGAGGCACTCTAGGGAGACATACAAGGTGGTGAATGCTCTTCCTGTGGAAGATTTGGCTCACGTCTGGGATGGGAAGGAGGATGGGGAGGAGGATGGAGAGGAGTGACTAGAAAATGTGAAGCTGTGACGATTGATATTGAAACAATAGTACAGTAGTGTCAGAATGAGGAATGGATGTTCCATTGATGTTGGTTGGGGTACATATAACAAACCCTAACTTCTGTACCCCCTAAGACAAACCTCACTACAGGCTACAACATTTGACACACCCCCATAGCCTAAGTGAGGGGTGTCTAGCAAAAACAAAAAAAGAGTACGGTCACAAGACCAGTCCAAAAGAAAACAAAGCTCAGGGTGGATCACAACGTCACCACACACTCTGAGCACAAGCAACAGTGGCCACAAGGCCAGTCCAAGAGATCACAAGTATATATAGTAAGTGTACAGACGAAGCAGGCAATAAACTCAAGTCTACGCATGACTAGAACCTGTGTCAACAAGGCCTAACTGCACACAACACCTCTGGTGGTCACAAGGCGGAAGCGCCTTGGTGAAGATGTCTGCAGTGTTGGCCTCGGACTCTACAAACTCGAAGCGAGCCTGTCCACGCCTCTGCAACTCTCGCAGAAGAAAGTACCTGGCGTGAATGTGCTTCACTCTGCTCTCCAGTCGCGGCTCACGACAGAGGAGGATCGACGCCTTGTTGTCATTAAACAAGGTCGGTGCAGAGCTCGGCCGCTCACCAAGGTCGGCGAGCAAGAAGGTCAACCACCGCAACTCCTGTGCCGCCATGGCACCAGCGTAAATCTCAGCCTCAGCTGTAGAGGTCGAGACAGAAGAGGAGCGCGTGGAACGCCAGGAAACAGCTCCAGAACCCAGACTGAAACAGTACCCCTGAGTAGACCTGTGAGTCTCAGCGTCGTCAGCGTAAGAGGAGTCACAGTGACCAGTGAGTACGACAGACTGCTGCCCTCCAAGAACTAGCCCCACGCCTGATGTAGTCGCTAGGTACTTCGCCACCCTCACAGCTGCCGTCCAGTGAACAGGACGGTGTCTCCCTGGCGCAACAAAGCGCGCAAGGATGCTGAGAGGGAAGGCGAGGTCCGGGCGAGTACAAGCCATCAGGTACATGAGGCAACCCACAAGCTCTGCGTAGGGACCACTAGGCTCAAACGGCTCGTCAGGAAAGGGACCAGTGAGTTTGTGGTCAACAGCTAGAGGTGTGCGCTGTACGGTGGAGTGCTGAAGCCCGAACCGCTGAAGGACCTGCTGCACCATGTGTGACTATGAGAGTGTAATGGTGCGAGCGGCTCTGTCCCTGGTGATCTGCAGGCCAAGGTAGTGGCGCAGCTCACCAAGATCAGTGCACGTGTGTCTCTTCTGCAGTTCGGACTTCACGTCTGCCAAAGCAACCCTGTCCGAAGTGGCGAAAACGAGGTCGTCGACGTAGACCAGAACAAAGAACGGTGTGGAGCCACGACGAACGAACAGCGACGGGTCGGCAGAAGACGGCTGGAACCCAAGGTCAGAGAGGGTAGAACGCAGAGTGTCGTGCCACTCACGAGGGGCCTGGCGAAGACCGTAAACAGGTCGCCTCAGCCTCCACTGGGTCCCAGGAGGGAAAGTGCCAGTGAAGGCCGAGGGACGACGCAACCAGACCTCCTCGTGTAGACTGCCCTGAAGGAAAGCAGTGGAGAAGTCAAGAGAGTGTAACTCGTAGTCTCTCTGTGCTGCTACGTGTAGTAACACCCGAAGAGTGGTCATCTTCGGGGTAGGTGCGAAGGTCTGAAAGAAGTCAACTCCCTCGCGCTGACTGAAACCTCTAGCCACGTAGCGCGCCTTGAAGACCGGGGGAGATCCCGGTGGCCGCTTCACCCTGTAGATCCACATGCCGTCGACTACGTTCGCCCCAGGGGGGGGAACCTCATCGACGTAGGTGCCTGTGGATCTGTAGGAGGCCATCTCTGCGTCCATGGCAGCTCTCCACTGAGAGGCCCAAGGCCCTGACACTGCCTCAGCGTAAGTGCGAGGAGTCGGAATGTCAAGGGCGTCGGGGTCACCCTCAGGGGCGAGGAGCATGGCACAGAGATGAGGGGAAGCGGCCGCCAGGAACTCTAGCTCAAACTGCCTGTCCTCTAGGGCGTCACAGCCAAGGGCAGACACACCCCCGACGACCAGAGGACTGGTAGGAGGAGCAGTCACAAGCGTGGTGGCGTAGTCAAGGCGGCGGGTAGAGGCAAAGTCAGTAACCGCGACAGTAAGAGCGGACACAGAGGACACAGAGACACGAGGGTGAGTAACAAGAGAGGCGAGAAGACGAGAGAGAACAGGACGGTACATGCGGTAGTAGTCAGTGACAGGAGTAGGGAGCGACACAGTGAGGGCCGACTCAGGAGGAGACGGAAGTACAGACTGAGACGGACGAGGTGGACTAGAAAGAAGGAAGGCAGTACGAAGGTCAGTGAAGGGAACAGGAGACGAGGGACGAGCACGAGGGGAGCGACGAGTAGCCCAAGAACGAGACGGAGGAGAAGAGGACAAGGGCGGAGAACTGGGGAAAACAGCGGGGGAGGAGTTAGGAGGAGGAAACGTGGGACCGTAGACAGGAGGAGAGGCGGAGGAGGGAGGAGAAGGGGAGGGGAGACCAAGGATCCGAAGACCCGAGACAGGAGGAGGAAGTGGCTGCTGCTGCTGCGGCTGCGACTGCTGCTGCTGCGGACGCGGCTGCTGCTGGGACTGCTGCTCCTGCGGGTCCAGCTGCTGCTGCTGCTGCTGCTGCTCCTGCGGCTCCAGCTGCTGCTGCTGCTCCTCCAGCCGCTGTAACTCCCTCTCCTCTCTCTCCAACGCCAGCTGCTCGTCACGGGCACGGCGAACACGAGCCTGGTGCCTAGTCGGGTAGGGGTGGGGGGGTGGAGTAGTGTCCGAAGCAGCGGCAGCTCCAGAGTCCACCTCAGAAGAACTAGGCGCACCACCCCCAGAGGCAGCACTAACACCAGCTCCAGAACCAGGCTCACCTGAACCCGAAGGAGGCGCACCCTCACCCCCAGACGCAGCACCCCCAGTGTCCGCGCGGCCAGCACCAGCTCCCGGACGACAAGAGTCCTCTGCACCCACCGGGTCAGCTCCAACTCCAGAACCAGAAACTCCAGCTCCAACCCCAGCTCCAGAGTCCAGTGTGAACGACAGCGAAGCGTCCTCTGAGGTAGTCGCTGGTCTAGAGTCTACACAAGTACCTACACTAGCAACAGGCAACTGAGCAAGACTAGCACCTAAGCTTACAACACCAGAGTAAACAGAGTCAGAAACACTAGAGTCAACAACAGCATACATAGCATGAGGAGCACTAATCAGATCAACTAACTGCTCAGCAGACATGCCCCACAGAGCGGAGCCGTAGCGCTGAACCAGAGGAAGCCAGTCAGGAGCAGGACCGCCAACCCCGTAGGTCAAGCGGACCGTGTCAGTGAGCTGAGCAAAGCACTGACCAGGGGGGTGAAAGCGGCCACAAGGGTGGCCCCGACGAGGACCTGTCTGAACCTGGTAGGGGCAGGGAGGGTGAGCAGCACCGCGCTGGGGCTGACGCAGCCCCGACCCCGGAGCCAGCTGCTGACGCTGCTGCTGCTGAGGCTGCTGGGAGGAAAGGGGCTGCTGCTGCTGCTGAAGGTGCTGCTGACGCTGAGCCTGGTACCACGCCGCTGCTCCACCTAGCGGGGCCGGCAGTACAGGAGGCGACTGACGAGCTCGAGGGTCGCCGCCACCAGCAGGTGCAGTGGAGTCACCAGCCGCTGCACGAGGGGTCTCTCCAGACGCTGCACTCCCACCACCGCCAGTCGCAACAGCACCCCCACTACCTCCGCTACCTCCGCCTCCACCTCCACCGGAACCACCTTTCTTGCCCCCCCTGCCGCGGGACCGCGACGCAGTCGTAACAGCAGCCGCAGTCGCGTCAGTAGCGGCAGTGGCAAGAGAGGCAGTGAAGGTGGGTAATTGCGGGACTGTGCACCCGTGGAAGAGTGGGGGGGACACAGTACCAGAGGCGGCAGCTACCGAACGAAGGTTGCTCTCGACGTCCTTGAGTGCAGACTCAAGGACCTCGATAGTCAGCTCACTAGGGTGCTTCAGCAGAAGCGCGTCACGAACGGAGGCAAGGCGGTCAGGGAGGCTAGTGGCGATGAAATAGACAGTAATCGCCATGGGGGGAGGAAGCAGTGCAAGCTGTGCCTCAGTGCAAGCAGCGCGGTAACTAGCGTCGAGCGAGCGGAGGTGAGCGATCAAGTCAGCAGAGCGCTCAAACGAGGCAAGATCAGGAAACAGGAACGGGAGGAAAAGACGGCCGAGAGAGACAGTAGCGGGAGTAGAGTAGCGGGCCTTAATCGCAGTGAGGTACACAGCAGCGGTGCGAACCTGAGTAAAGTGGACCTCCTCGGACTCAGGGAGGAGGCTGCTGAGTGCGATGCAGGCCGCAGCGTCACGCGACGTCCAAGCCGTCCGGTCAGCGCGCTGACGGGCAAAGCGAGCCGTAGCAGCGTCGTCAGGAGCAGGGCCTAAAGCTGTAGGCTCGGGGGGCTCGGGGAGGTCACCAGTAGCGTGTGACCAGAGGGTCTCGCCCCCCTGGACCTGACTCTCTAACAGACGACGAGCGCGAAGGAGCCAGACGGAAAAGTCAAGGGGTCTACCGTCGGCGTCGAAACGAAGAACTCGCGGAGTCGCCATAGTGAGAACCAACGCGAACGAACAGGCGAGTAACAACCGGGGGGGAAGAGGACTCAGTCGTAGCGGAAGAGCGGGCTAGGGCGACGGGCCAAGACGTAGGGTAGGGCAACGGGCCAGGGCCTAGGGTAGGGCGACGGGCCAGAGCCTAGGGAGGGCGACAGGCCAGGGCCTAGGGAGGGCGACGGGCCAGGGCCTAGGGAGGGCGACGGGCCAGGGCCTAGGGAGGGCGACGGGCCAGGGCCTAGGGAGGGCGACGGGCCAGGGCCTAGGGAGGGCGACGCGACGGGGGAAAGGGCGATGCGACGGGGCAGGGCGACGCGACGGGACAGGGCGACGCGACGGGGCAGGGCGGCGCGACGGAGCAGGGCGACGGGACAGGGCAGGGCGACGCGA